AAAGCAAAGAATTTAAAGAACCTTTTTGCTGAGTGCCATAACCTCCACTTTCGCCTCGTTGAAAACTTTTTCCCTGAGCGCCTGATCCCGTTCGCTCGCCATATTGGCTCGATGAAGCTGTTCTTTCAACTCGCCTACTTCACGTTGATGGCGCGATTTCATGGTTGTCATCTCGGTATTCGCAAGTGTTGCCTGCAGGATGAAAAATTCAATTCAGAAGATCGCCCTTAGAACTGAAATTTGTAACGACGAAAAACAATCACATACAAAACAAACGACTTACCGTAATCACAGGACACACCTTACCACATGTCATATAACATTTCACGGGACATCACGCACATGCAACAACAATCACGTAACGCAAGCTGAAACAAGATCTAGCAACATATACGTACAAACAAACTAAGTGGTGCACAGTACTAACTACAACGAACAAAGAAATCAGAAGTGAAGCAGCTCTCGTAAGCTTGTAATTCTCTTCATTGTTAGCAGCTGTTATTGTTTTAGGGCTAGGGCATTGTTTTTGTTGTTTGTTCTATTGCTCTCCCAAAAGGTAGTAAGCCATTCATGTGAGACCTTACGAGAGCTGCAATATCACCCAAAGAAATACGAGAGCCACACAACAAAACAAATGTACTAGTCACAAAAATACGCTTACTCCTTGGTGAAGTTGTCCCTAACCTTAAAAGGGTTAAGTCAGGCAAACTAAGGCGACTTGTTTCCTTCCCTATTCTTACAACTTTAGCTTTCTCTTATCGTCTCTTCTTTCAACTTGTTCTTCACTCAGGATTTACAACTACATACATATATTTCCGCCTCTATATCGGTGTAACCCTTGCTTATTTCCTCGATTTCGTCTCATTTCAGGTTGTACATCACAGAATTAGCAAAACAAACCGAGGCACATACAATCCCTCTATATAATGCTGCGAAGAGTCTTAAGATTCACCGCAATTCCTGGTACTTTTAAAGTGTAGTTAGGGGAATGAGATCTCCCCCACCACTATGCATCTTTTCAACCTCAATTCCAGGGCCCCAACCCTCGCTTATAGGACCTGGGATCGACAATGGCAATCCTTCCTTTTGTAAAAGTTCTCATGTCTAGATCTCGTCGCAACAGTTTTTCACGTTGCCAAACAAACCTTCTCTTTAAAAACGGTCTTAGAATGAGGATATCAATTATTCAGTATAAACCCCGGTACACCTTCCTCTCTGTCCACCGTTTCATAGAGACCAAGGAATTGAAACCCCCTGGCAAAACATACCTTCTGCTTTTCAGTCTCCAATTCTCTCTTGTGGGTCGACTGTGCATTAGCGAGTCTCTCTTTAAGCACATACACCTCTTCCTGAAGGTTGTTCGCTTTAGCGTTCTTTTCTTTCAGAACCTTTTCCAAAACCTGTTTCTTTCCTTGGATATCTTCCAGCTTCTTTTCCATTGTGATGAGATCATTTTTGGCCTGCAGAAAAACGTGAAGTATCGGGAATACTGTGAATTAGGGTCAAGAAGGGCATGAAAACATGAACAGTCGAATCTCCCTTAGGGACAGCGACTAAGTGTTCCTTTATGGAGGTGTCCCTTACTGAAGGTCACAAAATGTGCTGATCACGTGTGTGCTGATCACCTTTATGGAAGTTGCTCTTGCTCGAGGTAAAAACATTCCTCCACACAACTTGGAGTCTGCTCTCATGCGTACGGGCTGAAGCTGTCCCTAAGAGGCTCGACTGAAAGTGTTATCTCTTAGATACAATAAATACACCGATTAATAAGCTACAAAAGGACAACATTGAACGCAAGCTCGATTACATTGATAAGCGTTTCAAACCAATGCCCGCATGAGATAGTAATTACCATGTAATGCAATGCATAGGATAGTAAAGAAATAAGATTAACCACAAGAATAAACATTTACAGTTGGTTTGAGGCTATGTGAACATGTCGTCATGTCTAAGTACATTGGTTTAAGTTCTACAATCGAAACCGCCATAACACTGACTAACAAGGCGACTTTTCACACTCTGCAACATAAAGCAATGAGGGGCTATAGAAGATGACCGCTATAAGTTTGTACTGTAATTAAGTAGTTACATAGCTCTCTTACAAAGTTTACAGATATATCAGTTTATTTAAATTTAAATTGCATGGGTCACCTACAGTGGTTACAATTGACACTGGTAACGTTTACAAAGCCTACATTTAGGAGTACATCACTTATAAGTAAAGGACAGTCAACTAGAGAACAATGCTTTTGATAGTGTAGTTATAGAAAGTGTTTAAGACGATATACGATAATATACAACTCATTGCGCACGGAACCCCACCCCCCTGAAAAACAGAAACAACAAAATTTAACATTTAAAAGTTTCAATGTTGTCAAGATTTAACTTTCGTATCAAAACTTTTAATACTTGCCGTAAGACAAATTCGCAAACCAGATTATTTAAAGGTTGATTACTGCTGTTGTTATTGAATAATGCGATTTACAATTCTTACGAAACAAAAATCTTAGTTACAAGAGTACCTTAGCAGTTTATTTTTCTCAAAGTCTGAACTTAAAACATCATTAATTTAAACCTGGCGTCATGTCACGCTAGATTGTTTCATGCCTTTACAAAATAGCTATTCTCTTTTTCATTAAATCTGCTAACGTTCTTAAATTGTCGCTTTTTCACACTCCGTGCAAGTTATGTAGTAAATAGTTTCTGAGTCTTGCAAAGTTTATCTTATCTTACATAGTTATTATTTACAAGTTGTCGTTTAGGGTATTAATTGAGGGCAGAAACGAAGGTGTTACGTTTAATCTCAGGTGTACCAGGTTCCAGTCCACAGTTTGGCAAAACTTGGCTTTTCATTGGTCGGTTACAAGAAGCCGTCCGCGGAAATTTATTCCGTATCATGTGCAGTCACACATTAGTAAGTCACTCACTGTCACACATTAGCAACGTCAAGTGCAGTCACACATGAGTAATTCACGCACTATCACACATAAGTAACGTCAAGCGCAGTCACACATTAGTAATCAAAAGTCCTTGTAGCTGGTGATGGAAAAGAATGTGTCAGAGAGTTGGAACACAAAGAAAACAGCTGACAAAGCATTAAGTTATAAGGCAGTGAGTGCTTACTAAGTTAGCAGCTATCAAGCAATAAACTATTGTTAGAAGAGAAGCAGTGCTTTCAACGTGAAACCAGCGTAAGCGTAAGTAGCGAATATCTGGCCAGGATTTTGTGCATATTAGCAGAGTGGGGCATTAATTTAGCTGCATTTTGCTAAAAACAATTTCAATGCTACAAAAGAACAAAATAAAGACCAACAGTTGACGAGACCTGCTCTGCCTCAAACTCCTTCTGTCTGATGTTTTCCATGTTGGCAAGCTTTTGAGTCAGCTGTGTTACTTGTTTCTCTAGTTGGCCTGTTTCGTCCCCGCGCTGCTCGAATCTTCCCTCGAGGGCCTGGTACGCACTTTCCCGCACGGCAAGCATGCGCTCTAGTTCCTTCACCCTGATGTCATCCTTGTCTGCGATCTTTTGAGTCAGCTGTCTCACCTTCTGTTCCAACTCGAAATTGTGATTGTTGCGCTGGTTCAGCCTTTGTTCCAAATCCTTGTTTTCAGTCTCCCAGAGTGAGACGCGCGTTTGCAGTTCTTGGAGTCGAACTGTTTCTGCATCTGCCAGCTGATTGACCAGCTGAGAGATCCTGTCCTCAAGCTCGGTCTTCTGTTTGTTGAACTCATTGACCTTCTTCTCCAGCGCCTGGTTTTCACTTTCTTTGACAGTTAATAACGCATCAAGCTCTTTCGTCTTGACCATGGATTTTCTCAAATCGCTCTGGAGCTCCGCCACTTCGTTTTCTAGCTCAGAATGGTTTTCCAATAGGTTCTTGTTCAATTCCTGGTTTTCACGATCGCGAGTGCGTAACATGTCCTCTATTTCCTGACTTTTGTTCTTGATATCTTTAAGCTCGGCCTCGGTTGAAGCCAAACCATTCAGCTGAGAGTCTCTCTCCTTTAATTTCTCCTGTAGCTGTTCTTTTTCTGAAATGCTTAAATTTAAACTGACTTCCAGTTCTTGAACTCTCAGTTTGGTCTCTTGAAGCTCGGGCTCCATGCTCCCGAAAGTTTCTCTCAGCTTCTCGTTTTCCGAACTGTGCTCGCGAACTTTCGCTTCTAAATCGTCGACTTCGGAGGCTCGAAGATTTAAAAGCACGTCCATCTCGTCGACCTTAAGTTTAAGTTCCTTGACTTCACTTCCCATTCCTTCACTCTTCACCTTTGATAATAAAGCGCCAATACCTTACTTAGATGTCATAAACAAAAACTAACAAATCCACAGCTCAGGGAATAGATAATAAAAATACTGGAAACAAGAATAACAATATGTGTAGAAATACCAAATCCAGAAGGCGGATAGTTTTTTTCCTGTAGAATAAAGAGTAGTCCACAAAAAACATTC